CTCTGTTCAAAGATGGTGATTCACAGCGGACATAGATGACCTCTTTTACTCCTCTTCTCGGTCCAAAATGTGAACACTGGCATCCTCAAAAGAGTGACCTTTGTCCTTTAGGTGCAGATGTACAGTTGAATCTTGTCCTGTCGAGGTGACTCTTCTATGCTGTGCAATGTGTTTATGGAGCGGCTGCTTGGGTTCTCCAATGTAGAGGTCTGAGCACTCCTCGTTGCACTGCACAGCATACACTACATTGTTTAGCTTGTGTTTGGGAGTTTTGTCCTTGGGATGAACCAGTTTTTGTCTGAGTGTGTGGTTGGGTCTAAAGTGCACTGGGATGTTGTGCTTCAAAGGAACTTTTTCTGCCCGATTCGTCCCGATCACCCCAAGTTTGTGTTCCAGAGGGTGGTGGGAGTCAAAGAGTAGGTACTGGTCTGTGTGTGTGGGCTTCCAGTAAACTTCAATGTTGAGGCTTCCATCCTCCGTAATACAACAGCACAACCAGAAACATTAAATTATTATCTTTGTATTAACTTTGCATCTTCCCTGGGGAACTTGTGAAGGCTTTGAGTTCTTGAGTTTTGATTTTGACCCAGGTGTCACTGATGTATCTGTACCAGTGGCTAGGTGCTGTCTCTGTGAAAGAGCCAAGAGCTTTACTTTCCACTTCCTCCATGCAAAGGTTGGCTACAATGGGTCTTGCTGGCAGTCTCCACTGCTTCATTTGAAGGTATGTGAAAAGTGAGACCACATCAAAGGACACTGCCGTTTCATTAGAAGAGTCTCCATCTCACACACAAACACATTTTCATAATCCATATGTAATACCAAGTGTCATAAAAATGTAAACTACAACAAATTTGTGCACTTACCTGGGGATTTGTATCCAAGAAAACGTGAAATCTTGCTCTGGCAGTGTTCTTGCTCTTCATACGTAAGCAGCTGGTAAACAAACTGCCAGATCACCTGTTTTGCTGGAGTGTCCAGCACTGGGAACACATCCACGATCAGAGTGTCAACATTCCTGTCATTGAAGCACAGGCAACGGGACAGAGATCACCTGGCTGTCCAGTTAGAGGTCAAAGGAATTAGAGGGTAACAGGAACTCAGGTGTATGGCCATCATCTATGTAGTTGGCCCAAGTTATTGAACTGAACTGAAATCCAAACCCAAAACTTAATTTGCTTCTAGCTGAACAAAATATAACCATATTAATATATTACTAGCAACATTATTGAGTCACTAGCTTTCTCTGTCTCCCCCTTATACAGTACACAATCTATGGTCTCTATCCATACTCTCCTTCTCTCCCTGTGCTTTGCTTACCTATGCTGGAAGAAGTTCTCCAATGCTTTGCAGATTGTGTATCTCTCCTGAATGGTCAGCAGGTGCTCCAACTGCTGCCCAAAGGTGCGACCCTGAACCCTGATACTCGGAGGCAGAATCTCTGCCACCCACTGGAGGGAGCTGAGCACAGGAGAGCGGGCCCGTTCTGTAGGAACACCGCCTCCTGCAAGGTCCTGCTCTGCAAGGGTAAATGTAGGCGGCCCATCCTCCACTACCAGTGTGGGCATGGCACCGCTTCCCTGCAGCATGGACACTACCTTTTCATGCGAGGAGGTCCTGCAGGCAGACAGATGGTATCCAGGATGTAAAGGCATTTCTACCAGTTATTTAGTAGAAAAGCTAAAACTTAATATTTAGTGATGTCACTACTACTTATGTCATGTTGGTGGTGCACAAATAACCAGTAACCAATGAATGAAAAGTTGATTTGGGGGGTACTTTCTTGTCATATTTTTTCTTACTTCAGTCTTGTAATATATTCAAAGGCTCCAAATTTTACAAATGAAAAAATATCTTTAACAGTGGGACCAGAACAACATGTTTATGCTAACTTCCTATCACTTTTCTTCTTTTTATTTCTTTACAAGCAAATTGCTTTAGGATTTGCACTGTTTTATGCAAAAACATGCAAAGAATATGTGCAGTTTATGCAGTTCAACCTCATGTCCAGTCCATTGAGAAACAGGATGCGGTCTCCTGGTTTTAGACCGGCTTTGTCTGCAGGACTTCCTGAAGAACAGAGAAGGAATGACAGACAGTTTACCTATATGGAGTTCACATTGAAGTCCATTATCTGCTTCATTCTTACCAGGGATCACGGAGTCAATCCACACTGGAGCATGGCCTCTGAGAGTGAAGCCAAAACTCATGTTGCCCTTGCAAACTCTCACTGTCCTAAAGAAGCAAATTTAAGCTTCAGTTAACAACCATACTTAGAGCTCCTTTGTTGTAAAAGAAAAGCAGGTCACCTGAAATAATCTATCACATTCAGGGGCTAAATCAGCACGACTGTAGTAAATATTAGAAAACAGGTTACAAGAAAGCCCTCTTAAACTTTTAAACATCATTAAAATAACATCCAGTGGACAGAAACTTACAATAAATGGGGTAAAGTTCATTAATTGTCAAGCTCAGTGAATGTAGCCTTGAGTCACATAACATAGTTAAACATAGTTCGTCTGCCTTTTCTGAAAGAAGCTGAGCAGACTTCCATATTCAGCACACTATTTTAAATTCACATCCTGCATGAACAAGCCTACTTAAATATGGACAATGTGTCCCCAGGGAGCTGTATAACGAGGAGATCGGGAGTGTCTTGTGGCAGTTTACTTCCATAACTTTAGCAGAAGGTGAAAGGATGCTTAAATCATGTTTAAAGGTGTTTTTCAAACACCTCTCAGCATTAAATCTTTAAATGAGTTTATATGAGTGGAAAAGCGAATGACGTCAATTCATGATGAAAAACGACATCACTGCAGGAAAAGAGAGCAGGCGTGACTGTCCTAATAGGTTTATGTCGCCACTGGTTTTACCACTTAAGGGTCTATTTTTCACTGAAATCCTACATGTTCCAGTTTAAATAAATTCCATGCTTACACAGAGACGGCTGTTCAGGCAGTTTTGGGTTTTTTTTGGAAAGGTGCAGTGATCAAACATAGGAGGACAGACAGTTATTTAAAGAAACTGGCATCTTGAAGACTAAAAATGACATACACTGTGTAGCTGAAGCCAGCACACTCTGGAACTGATTAAATGTTAGCAGAGAAAATCCAAATTTCTTATACTGCTCATTATTTTTGCAGAGGTGGGACTTGTGCACCTCTTTCTTTTTGCTCTAAATAAACTTTAAGGAAAACCAAAATCATTGTTACTTAACACAGACCTGCAGTTTGTGGTGGTGCCACTGGAGTGGCCAGCTATGAGTGACGTGGTCTTGCGCATGCCTCGGGCAGGGGGTACCACACCTTCCTCTGCGTGGGTGCGTGGCACTGAGCTGGCGCGGGTGGAGACAAGAAGGCGTTCGGGGTGATCCTCGCTTCGGCTACGGCGAAGGTGGCTGCGGCTGGGGTCACTAAAGCTGCGCCCCTTCAGCCGGCTCATCAGGCTTTGGGAAACCACTTCGTCAAAACGCTCCCGGTGCTTCTTGGGAATGAAGATCCTGACAAACATTGTGGGATCAGAACAAACCCCAGAGAGACTGGATAAGCTTTTACAGCAAAGGAGGAGCAGTTTCCAGTTCAGCTTCTCTTGTGTTCAGTCAGTACCCAGCATTTTTTTTTTACATTTGTACAAGAGATCAGAATCATATATAATAAAAACAAGCAGTATTTCACCCCAAACCTTCCAAACAAAAATCAAGATTCTTTATACTAATGTCTCAAAACATCTGTTGTCCGAGGTATCAAAACTGCAGAGGGATTCTTGTTCTGATTACGTATTGCTCCAACAGCAGGATCCACTTAATTGGCTTAAAAATAGTTCAGTCCGTATCATCTCATGGGAGTGTCGAGGCAAGCAGAAAGAACTGGTCCAACATCTGAGTGTGTGTGTGTGTGATTTTCGTGAGAGTTTGCATGTGAGCAAGAGAATGAAAGAGACGAGAGACGAGCTTTGTTGTGTGATCCTGTCACATTAGCGGCTGCAGGTAAAAGTGTTCAGTATCAGTGACAGCTCACTGCTAATATACGAAATGTGAGGAAGCTCAGTGCCAGAGCCACCTCTGGAAGAAAGCACTTCATTCCCCCCCTACTACTCTTATTTTGCCCTCCCATCATCTACTCCAAATCTGGGGTTTTTTTTCTTCTTAAAGGAAAAGCAAACCCTCACATCAACTTGCCATTAAATTTAGTGTGTTAAAGGGTGTGATGTGCACCCAGTTTCCCCCAGTCTTTTGTATGTTTCATGCACAGAGATTAAAAATAACAAAACAGAGTTGTAATTTCTTTTTCAAATAATGAATCAAGCCAAAGAGAGCTCGTATTTCAGATGCAAAACCTCTCAGAAGCTTTGCGTGCATCAAAAAACTTGCTGCTATTTATTTGATACAAATTTCTCCCTTTAATGCCTACATCATGAACCTGATTTTTTCCAAACTGCACAATACATTTTTAAGCAATACATTGCTAACAAAATTAGCCAAATATAGCAAATATATTTATGATATATGGAAATTATTTTCTTAATTTGTCAGAAGAACACCCTATTTTCCAAAAATTTGAATTTTCTCACAATTATTTCATGGTTCAGGCTTTGAAGGGTTAAGATTCTTTAGCATCAGCTTTAAACACAGATAAAGAACCATTTTCTTACGGTTTCTACTCACACCCAAACCTGACATTTGCCACTGATCTTTTTAGATTGCTTGAAATGTCTGGTCCCATTAAACTCTCTTGCAGTCTTAGTGCTGTCTGCTGGTTTATATTTGGCCAATTATCTGCAAGAACAAGAAAAATGCATAACAAAGCAACAGAAGTGACCTAGAAATGGAAGAAATATTGCCAATAACTGTTTTGGAAAGTGTTTTATCGTGTGCTCCTTCTTTAAATATAGGGCGCTCCTCTGTTACACATACGCGCGCACCTCCCCGCCGCCTTTTCTCTTTTGCATATCTTCCTCCCCATCCTGCCTACAAAATGATGCTCCCTCGATTCTCAACACAACTCTCTCTATCTCTCTAACTTCACTGTGAATCTCCTGGGTGCTTCCACTGTTGCAGAGCAGGAAAGAGTGCTTTGTTTTTTTTCAGAGTGCACCAGTTCCAGTGTGGCTCCATGTACACAGCATAAATTCTGATTTAAATCGCAATAAGGCTCAGCGGCGCACTTTGGATTTCAAAGCTGTCACAGGTACATTTGGGAATATCGTTAGGAGGCAAAGATTAGATTATTCTCAGTTTTGTAGTTTCTTAAAAATCCTTGCTTATGTAGTGTGTTGCCTTCATACCAATATCTTAAGATGCAAAGCTGAGGGAATATAGATATTCACTCTCTAGAGAATTATTAACACAAAGTTATGACTCACTAAAACTTAAAGGTTTTTGCAAGTGCACACTGATATACACCAGACCATAGCTTTAATTAAAAACCAACCTGGAACACTGCACATTGATCGGTATCCTAAACCCAGCTATGCACAGGTGTTCCAAAAATACAGACTGAGACTTTTAAAACTTCTATAAATGAGGTCATGCACTCCCAAGCTGTATGTTAAACCACTACCAACATCCAGTGCTCATCATCCACAAGAATAAAACACTCAGTTTAATACAGTCTCTAGTTTTGTACTGTTGGTAAGACTTGTGACATTTATTTTGCTTACTGGTTGCACCTGCAGCTTTCATACGGTTTATTACATTTATACAAGAACAAATCTGCAATACACTTGTACGTATATTACAAGCATAACTCAAAGAGCACAAAGCCAGAAGCACTGCAAAATTACAGTTTGCTTTTCCACAGTGTCTCCTGGTACAGAAATTATTCCACCTTGACTCAAACACACTCACAAATACATATGGGAACTAACTGCTGATTCGCTGTATGTTTTTCAACCTCATTAACACTTAATGACTCTTGTGGTCTAACCCAGCCATGGACAGACTCGCAGCATCATCAGGTATTTTCCCTAAACTTGAATAATGGAAAAGCAGTCTGGATGCTTGCAGTCTCACTGACATAAGACCAAACCCATGAATACACAATGCACTTAATTATAATCACTCTTATGCAAACCTTCTTTGTTTCACTGAAGAAAGACACACTAGATAAAGCAATGTTGTACATTTTTTTTTCTATTCACTGATGTCAAAAACTGATTTATAACTGTCAGTTACACTCATCATTAGGGAATAATGGAAACATGAGTGAGAGTGAGTGAGTTGAGGTGGTAAAGTTGCTTCGGTGACTCTCAGATAATTGGTTTTTCATGTAACCAAACAGTGTAGTATGCCAAGTGGCGTTCCCCATGGTGCAATCATGGGCCCACATTAACTTTATCAAAAGAAGCTCTCTTCACATACTTCACAGATACATTCAGAATTTACTGTTTTCATTTTTCAGAAATGGGAAAATAGCTACAGTGTTTATTAATGCACAGAACATTGTTGAAGACTTGTGTTGAGGCTCATCTGGAAAATGTAGCTGAAATACAGAGTCTTTACAAAAGATTCAAAGACTGTAGAAAACATATTGTGCCAGTCCAGAAAATAACAAGTAAATACATGTCCACTTTCACCACAACCATGAGGTCTTCCTCTTTTCCTCCTGCCTGGCAGGTCTATTCAACATCATTTGTCCAATATATTCACTATCCCTCCTGTGTATTTGTCCAAACCATCTCACCCTTGCCTCTTTAACTTTGTCTCCAAGTCACACTACCTGAGCTGTCCCTCTGATGTACTCATTTCTATTCCTGTTCTCTCCTGAACAGCCCCAATAAAATTTCTGAGCATCTTCAACTCTCCCTACCTGTTTTCTTTTAATGCCACCACCTCCAAACCATACATCATAGCAGGTCTCACTACCATCTTCTAAACCTTCCCTTTCCCTTTTACTGCTTTCTGTAGCATGTTGGGACAACCTCCTCAGTGTTATCAGTGACACAAATTCTTCCATAGGTAATGCTTCATCCACCTAAAGTCATGTTAATTATGAACCCAAAAAGGTGTGTATGAGGGTGACAATGATTAAGTGCACTGTGTATTCATGCAGCAAAAAGTCAACTCTTCCCTGGAGGGCAGCAATGTGTTCTTCTGTAACACCAGATTGCTTGGTACTGCTATTCCAAGGACCATGCTCCAGTTATAAACAGCAATACATAAGAGAAAACAGTATCCAGGGGTGGCTGTAGCTCAGGTGGCAGAGCGGATCAGCCACTAACCAAAAGGTCGGTGGTTCAATCCCAGGCTGCTCCAGTCTGCATGCCAAATATCCTTGGGCAAGATACTAACCCCGCTCTCCGATGCATCCATCGGAGTGTGAATGTGTATGAATGTTAGATACTTAGCTTAGCTCTTATACTTAAACTTAGAAGTGCTTGTGTGAATGGGTGTGATTGGGTGAATGAATTAGCTGTATAAAGCGCTTTGAGTGCTCGGACAGAGTAGAAAAGCGCTATATAAGAACCAGTCCATTTACCATTTACCATTATCCATCCAAGCCAGCAGAAAGCCAGAGTGACAAAGAAAGAAAAAGTAGGAAGAAAAGGAAAGACAGACAAGCAGGAGCTGATGAAGTAATGGCAAAAAATGGAAAAGAGACTGATATGAAGACATGAGCTGTAAAATCTGATAGTGTCATGAGACTAGGAAAGAAAGAAGGCAGAAAACTAGAGCTCTTTCTAGGCCAGGGTCATATAACTATTGGGAATGAAGTTGTATGTTCTGCGCTTACACCCTATGTAGGCCATTCAACTTTCCTGAAAAACAGTCATACATCACCATGGTTCCCCGGACAAACGGAGTTGGGGGAAATACAAAACAGAATGGGGACAGTTTTTACACGTTTATCACATTTCATTCTGTCAGTTATTGGTTTCTTTTGCTGTCATCACCTCTACTCCCTCTCTACATCCCTGTACTGTAACTCCACTGAAACGATCTGACCTACGTCAAAGAAACTTCTACTTTTTTGTAAAAAAAAAAAAAAAGAAAAAAAAGTTTAGCCTAGCCAAAACAAGTGAGCAGAAACTTCAAAGCTTCCCTCCAGTGAAGCTGGATGTAGGCCTTGGGGTGCCCTCAATTATAAGGAGGGCGAGATAAATCTATAATTAGGTCTGAGGGAGGGGTGGATCAAGGACATGATGCACAGAGGGATGAATGACAATTGCAATCAGCTGGGAAACTCAGTGCAAGAAAACCATTATTATCATCATCATCAGACCCACTTCTGATCAGCTAATTTAACAGCTGGGCCAAGTATGAATCTGCAAACAGGAATCACACTATGTGACACGGTGAAGTTAAAATAAAGAGTGAAATTAAAAAGCCTCCAAAAGAAAATGCGAAAGTGGTTGTTGGGAGATGTCAAACTGAGTTTTGCTAAAATCTAGAGGTTTTCTCATCACAGCTGGAATCTGATATTTCTAGTTTTGACATTTTCACATGCTAACACAAAGTGTAAAAATGATCATCATTACACACCTTGATAACAAGTCCACCAGATATAGTTGCACAGCAGCGCTCCAGCAACTTCAAATACAGCTCAGCACAACAACACAAAGCACAGTGAACACTGTTCTGAGATCAAACAAAAAGTGCCATACCGAAAGTGTCTGGAAAGGCTCCTATCCCTTCCCATGGCTCTTCAGGGCTTTGAGGAAGTGTCTGAGCTCAGTTAAGCAATGCAAATGCCTCCCCTCTGTCTCAGTTAGTCCCCATCTAGTTTTGAACAAACAACCCTCCTGGACAAAGGAGAAAGGAGAGAAAGATGAGAAACGCAAAGGTGTCCTGGATCTCAAAGGTTCCTGCTGCAGGCTCGGAAAGCAGCCAGATGAAGAACGAGACCAAATGAGAGAGAGGGAGGGAGCAAACTATAAGAGTGGCTGTGGTTTAAATCCTTCCACACCTCCAAAACATCCTCAGGCAGCATCATTAGCTCTTCTCCAACTTCATGTTTGGGGGAGCACTCTTTGTGCCTTCCCATCCTTTATCCTCGTCTTCCACAGGCACCAAAAGACAGAAGCAAAGGCTCGAGGTCAACACAGGACTGTCTTCGTGGTCTCGGTTAAAGGATAATCCTCAGTATTGACTTGTCCATCATTCAGCAGTGAGAGGTAGTGAGTGACAAATCTTCTCTTCCCTCAGTGGAGGAAAGAAAGAATGACAAGAACAGAGGAGTAAGTGAGGAGGGAGAGAGGAGAGAAGTGGAGAAGAGTGTGGAGCCCCAGTGGAATTTCATAGGCAGGTCAGCACAATGAAACTGTAATGTGCATAAGTGAACATGCAGGAAGTTTGGCAGTTGTGACTGTGTGATTCATCCCTATTCATTACATGTATGCTAGGTAGGAAATGTATCCAAACTGGTGCAAAAACTACCAGAAAAGACTGATTCATAAAGCAGAAGCTGAAAACATTTTGGCACTCAAACACAAACGGATGTGAAAGTCTAATTAATTCACACCTTTGAAGTCTATATATGGATGCAGTGTCAGACAAAGGCTGACACTTCACTATACTCACAAGTTATCAAAACACTGCACAACCGCATGAACAAAAGAGCTAATAGGTACTCCCAGCTTGTCGCTAATTTCAATTGTCAAGCACTTGCTGACCCCTGGGCTTTACAGCATTTAAGAATTGACACCGGCAAGTGCGCCAGAAACCTAAGAGAGACTTTATTAAAAGAAGTAGGCTGCTTAAAAATAGAACACATCCTTTGGGAGGAGGGGAGGCAAATCAGCGATGGGGACAGAAGCAGACTGAGCAGCGTGTGGCCCAGCTGGTCAAGTTTTCGCAAGGCGGACAAAAGAAATAGTTTCATGAGCTGTTAAGCACACATCAGATCCTCTGACACAGACCTCTCATTATCAGAGGAAGGGTGGGTGGAGTGTTCTCACATTCGTGTGTAACACACTCATGCATGTGCATGAGTGTGTGAGGGCTGTCGTAGTAAGTAACAGTGATTGAGGGACACAGACCGGCAGATTGGGTGGCAGAAGGAGAGCAAACACTTGATTCTCCGCGCTCAGAACGACGACACTGGCACCAGGCTCATGACGGAGCACACTAATAATCGTATATCTCGCTGTCGGGCATCTTAATTCCTTAGTCAGCGGCTTGGATTCCCAGTACAGCTTTTCAGATCACTGCGATTAGGAGTTATAGCACAATCAGTATACTTAATGAGACAAAAAAGGCATTCAGTATCAGCAAATTCAGGCTACGGTAACAGCTCTGAATAGCTTCGTCATGCTGACAAGTTAAATGCAATAAATGGGGAACACAGTTTACTAGTTAGCACCAAAATGCATCTGAAGTTATAAGAAAGGTCACAAGCAAATAGCTGAAATTATGACAATTCATTGTGAGGGGACCATGCACTAAATTTTGTGGACCTTGTTCTAATCTGGAGATTTTTCACTCAAAACGAGCAATGTAAACCTCGTGGTTTTAATAAAAGATGCTCACTGGAAAGTGAAGCCTATAAACTGCAGTCAGAGGGCTTTTTCATGGGGAACCATGAAAGTCTGAGCAAAATTAGCTAAGAAGAGATTGCATTCATATTACAAATTTCATTGTCCACAGAAACTGTTCACATCGACCAACACAGCGCCTGAGGCACAGCTCCTGGAAGCACAACTCCATACGGCTCCCACCACAGACAAACTAAAGATTCAGCTGAAACATAAAGACCTTTCTTCTAAATGTGGAATATAAAGTTTATTTTTAGCCTTTCTTGAGACTACAAACTCAAACAAAACCCTTTCAAATCCTTTTTTTAGCATGTAGGCAACATAACAGGCAGACACAAAGACAAAAGCGTGGAACGTAGCACATATACATCAAATCCTTTCAAGGGTATAGCATTCCTGATTAAGCACCACAGTATGGAATTGTGGGTAAAAGAAGGTAGAGTTGATTTTTTTAAAGACAGACTCAGACAATTATTGTTAGAGTTATTGCTGAAAGTGAGAAAAACAGCTCAACAGTCCTCAGTCCTCTATGGGTACAGCTAATGCATAATTGATGGCTCTCCTGTGGACAACAAACAGTGCAAAGCATTTGTTTTTCCCAGGCAGCTTTCTAAGGATGGAAATGAGCCATCAGTGCTGTGAGACAGACATCTGTGTTCAAATGAAACTGAGACGGCTGGACAGCAGCTTTGTTTTTTAGCTGCAGGTAGAACAGATCCGTCACCCCAAAAAAAATGAGGCACAGGGAAAACTCATCACTAATTGATTGTAACAAGTCGGCTGTCATAGAGTGCTTTAACAGCAGTGCCGTTTACTTGATGACCAATCAGAAATGACCACACACGACAGATGCCAAGGAAGGCAAACTCGATGACCAGTTACATGCTGAAAACGCTCTGAAAATTAATCGTGACAAATTGTTCGATACTCACCTGAGACAGCAACTCATAATGTCTCCCAGTATGGAACTTCAAAGCCACGACTGTGTGGATGGAGACTGAGCATCTGCATGTTTCACTGTGTGTTACTATGTGTGCAAAATCTCATCCACCGGCAGCAAACTGGCTGTAGCAGCTAAGAGCTGTATGCAGAGGAGGGAATAAAGAGCATCCAGTAATGTGATCCACACAAAAAACTGGTGCGTGTATCAAAGAGTGCATCACAGCTGACAGGGAGATGTGGGAAAGAAAGAGACCAAGCGAGAAAAAAACAGAGTGAGAGTGAAGTGAGCAGAAAAGACAGAGAGAGCGGAAATGCAAGTGTGTGCAGCGGTGTTGTGTTTTGGGTTTTGATTTTCCAATGATTGCTGAGAAGGAAGAAATGCAATATTCGGCGGTCACACTTCTAATCATACGCTTTTTGCATACTATACCTGAGGTGGGGAGAAACAGAAGAGTGACATTCAAGCACCCTAGAGCAGAAACTTATTTATGTGTGGTTTTGACGTGTCCCTGACACAGTAAAATGCTGAAAGAGCAGGGGTTCCTATGGCAATTCACTAGGTTTTTCTTGGTTGTTGCTGTATAAGGTTATACTGTATAACTTTACCCAATATGACTATAACTCCATCTACAAGCAGAAACAGTAATTTCAGCTATTTTTGTTTTGGACCCAAAAATAGGTTCATGATCACTTGAAGATGCAGTGTTGATTACTTAGAACGTGTCACTATGTTGTTAATAAACCTGGGTCCCTATGATTTGTTAATCTTTTACACTTAAGTATGGCACCAAGCCAGTCACATACAAAGCTTCAGAGCCATCGAAATATCTTCTTAACAATGTAACAAATTCAGGGTTGCAACCAGGGTGAAGCCTATCCTAGCAATCACAAGCAAGAGGCAGGGTACAGCAGTCACACAGCACTGTTCACAAAAACAATAAAATAAATAAGAAAATGAAGTGCCATAATAGCCGATAAAAAGGCACCGTAAGACACGATGAAATAAACAGGTCTTTTAAAAATAACTGAATAATAATGATTCAATGAAATTCCCCGTAAACTGGGGAACAACTAACAAATTCTGAGCCTGTGAAGACAGCGAGCAGCAGTGTATTTTGTAAGAAGCTGAGATAAGAAAAAAAAAAGGCTGTTTAGTGCTCTGTATGTAAATACAAGAATTTCCTGAAACATATTAGAACCAATGTAAAGACTATAAAATGTGAGTATGTGAGCTTGCATTTTATACAGCTTGGAGTAGTGAAAGAGATGATAATAATCCACGTCTAAATACTAAATATCATATCAGGTTTGGCTTTGGTCTGAAACCAGATGTAAAAATGATCAGAACTGTGTTGCACTGTGAGTCTCCCCCTCATTGGTATTCCAGGGACATCTAAGTACGGGAGGAACAGTTTTAAGAAACTCCCATGTTTCTGAGAAAGTGTTGTTAATCACTGCATAAGAAGAAGTAAATCATTGAAGCCAATCTTCTTGAAAGATGCACATGGCATTTAGTCAGGCTTGTTTTACCCCCAAGTCTCTCTCTGATTGCATATCTGGGTGAATGAATAGCTACCTGACACTGTCAATCAGTTGCTGATGCTCCTCTGTGATCAGAATATCAGGCAGGGCCTCAGCCAGGCTCTCCACATCCCTCTCAGCAGCGTACTGCTTTAGCACCTCAAACAGCTGTTCCTTCACATCTGGCTCCTCTCCTAACACGTCCTCCACCTGACAGAGAAAGAAAAAAAAGGCATCATTAAATATGTTAAGTTTCAATTCAAAACATGCAGAAAAATGATAGAAAGTTACTTTTTTATTGAACTCCATGGCCTTGTGGGCCCGGCTCTCCCTGACGCTATCCCCGCTCTGTGACAGCACCCTCATGCTGCTGCTCAGCCGCTTGGGTCGACGAGCCATGCTGAGCACACCCAAACGCAGAGGTCGTCCCTGAGCTGCTTTTATCATGGCGGCTGCTGTTTCGTGGTGCTTCACTGGAATGCCGTTGACCTCCATGACATAGTCCCCTGCCTTGAGGCCACTGCGGCCAGCTGGACCATTAGGCATGCAGTCCTCAACCATTAGTGGGCTGTCTCCCACAATGGTGAAGCCAAAACGGCCATCTGGGCCAGGGTTGATGTCAATCTGAGAGGGCAAAAAATGAATAAAGTTTGCCACCTTTGCACCGTCTTCACCATTGTAGAGCTGAATGTGGGTTATTGACTTTCAGCTGACCTGTTCAATCCGTGACACCACCCCGATGCTCGGTGGGACCGTCTTGAGGGTCTGAGCCAGAGCGATCAGCGCCGGTGTGCTGAGGTTGGTCACATCCTGGCCCTCTATGTCCACCACCTGGTCACCAGGCTGTAGGCCAGCCAGGTAGGCACTACTGCCTTCTACAACAGACAGGATATAGCTGGGCCCAGTGCCTCCAAGTCGGAAGCCAAATGCCTCTGGCCAGTTCTGATTGGTGGCTGGGAGGCCGAGGTCTGGATAACAGAGAGAGAAATAAAACTTGGAGAGACGCAAAGAAATAGCTCATTTATACATTTCTTGGGCGGAATTAGGTATTAACAGAGCAAAGCTTCAGACTCAAAGATGGTTATATCAATAGGCACTTTACGAAGGGGTGAAACCATCTCTGCTTTGCTGCTTATCGCATGTTCTGAAAGCATAAAAAGAGCATTGCTAATCTGATCCAAGCTCCTAATACAGTGGAGATGGTTGCGAGCTGTAGAATAGAGGTCAAACCGACTGTTTAAATGGGCCAACTGAGATATGGAGCTGCTTGTAGCTGTAGCAGCAGGTACACTGGTCTATTTAATGAAACCGCAAAATTTCAAGGCACTCTCTCTGTTTTAGAAAGATTGACTTTTAATAAACCAAAGGAGGTTATTTATGCCTGCTGCTATCTAGCCCACATGTCAAACCAGCGGCCTTCCCCTGGTCACTGGCCTCATTAAGCTGCTGTAGGTCTCCCAGTAGAATCACTCGTCTTCCACAGCCATCCGAATGCATCGAAGATATATGTAGGACATTATTGGGACTGTTAAGTGCACTTTGACTTTACGTGCAGATGCTTTTATTTTGTTCCAAAATCTTTGTCTATGTTCTTGTCTTTTGCAGCATCCATATTTGTATTTGTATTACAGTGTTGCTTATTAGGACCAGCTAATTTGTACATAGTTGTCATGTATGTGGCCAAGATTGAAAACTTAGATGCAAGTTATTTGATCAAACAGTGATCAAATTTCCAAGTCAGTGCCGCTACTCCATGAAAAATATAAATTATGACATCATGGTCCCAAGGCAGAAAACCGGAAAGGAAAACACATTAAAAAATATTTACCAATCGCAACAACCAGCACCAAAGAATTGTTTTTCTTCTTGCAAATGATTCGTCTTGTAAAGACACAGAAAAGAAAAGAAAGAAAGAAAAAACACTAATTAAAAAGCGCAAATTCTCTGCAAACCTTTGTAAAGTAATCTGAAAATGTCAGACTCTACTTCAAAAGAAGACATAAAAAAAAACAGATCTTACCAGAGCACAGGGATGAATATTCAGGGCGGTGAATACAATACATATATACAGACTCAAAAACCCACAGAGTTTGATCTCAGAAACAAACAGTAGCTGATTAAGGCTTTAAAACAGACTGGAAAATCGCTACTACTGAGATGTGAATCGTAATCCTCTCTCCCTGCAAGAACATAAGTGGCACTATCGAGACTTTCTTGTCCTCTTCTCTCCAGCTTGTGACACAGATACACATCTGAGCTCCAGGTCCTTTTAAAGCTTCCCTCTTTATCTGACTTCCACTAGATGAAACACCTCGGGAATAGCATAAAAATAATTATCATTCTGAGAAATAGACTTACAGAAATCTTTGGAGGCACTCCGAGTTCCCGACTTGCTCTGGCGCAGGGAGAAGCGGCCCTTTCTGCTCAGGAAACGCCTCATCCTTGCCCGGCTTGCGGCAGGGCACGTTCCAGCCAGCCTATCTTCACCCCCAGCTTGGGGGCCGATGCAGCCAAAGAGTGTCCCAGGACACCCTCACGCTGCTCCTCACCTCAGCTCACTACCTCCAAAGGCTTCTACCCACGTAAGTAAATCAAGTGTACCTGAGAGGTCACATTTGGAGATTACGTAGGCCAGTGCCTCCCCCTGTTCTCAGAGAAGTAGCAATCTGAGGCAGTGGTGGTGGAGGCTGGAGGAGAAGGGAGAGTGTCTGAAAGTCAGGTTCGCCATCCTGGGTGAAGCAGCCTCAGTCCAAACCCTGTGGCTGACGATCAGGAAACTGGGACATGCACACTTGGTCCTGAAATGGTTCTTTGCAAGAAAAGGTACAGCGAAGCCCCATTTTTCTATAAATACCTTTCTCTCTCTCACTCCCAGCCTCTCTCTGTCTCCCTCTGTAGCTCATGTGCATGAGGCCCTCTCAGAGGGCTGAGGAATGACCCAGAAACTGTAGAGTATGAGCCAGGGACACGTCTCTGATTATAGCATCTGTGCTAACCTTGCTACTGGAGCACTGGTTACAGAGATGGAGCCTACAGATAGGCTCAAGGTTATACACACATCAAATACAACAGTGTTTTTTTTTTTGGGCTAAGCCAATCATCCACAGTGAATTTGCCACAAGACCACAGGGCTAATGGATTAATAGATCCAGTTCGTCTCTGTAGGAATTGTGACAGAACAGCGGTGCTTTCATGTTCCTACAAAGGAGCTACAGCAGTGGATGCTGTGCTTTACCTGCCAGGTGTGTATGCTTTCAAAACAGGTAGGATTCCCAAGACGGCAGGTGGTGTTCACTCTACAGCCACATATACACTTCTACAACAAAGAAATAAGAACTAATTTAAGACCATAAAGTAAAATGACCAACAACACATTATTTTAGTCGAGCAGCAAAGGCACAAAGTAAAAGCATCAAGAGTTTTTCCACTCAGAGAAAACATGAATGGAAAATAAAAACTGAAGTCAACTGTGTAAGAAAATAGCATTTATTTGATGCAAACTCTAGCTAATCTGATATTTTTACATCTATTAAACTTAGAGATTCATTGTGACTGACCAGCTCAGAACAGCCACACTGTTTTTCACACCTGACCGAGACATGAAGGAAGGAAAAACTGAAATTAAATGATGTCATTTTATGTAGAAAACAGCTATTTTTATTTGTCGTACAAAAACTGCTAAAAACTAGGCAACAACAAATGGCATGTTTCATTTATTTCATCAAAAACAAACATGCATTTGTACATGCCTATCATTTTAAGATCCAAAAGTTCCCAAATTAGACAAAACATTTAATGAAGAGAATAATGTTAGTAGATCGACCAACAAAAATGAGCTGTGTGATGAAGCAGTAGTCCTGTGGCACACTTGTGTACCGCATGAATCAAAAACACTTTGGCCTTAGTTTGGGGTTTTTTTGTAAATTCACTTGAAGTGCAAATAAACTGTACAGTTACTGGCTACAAAGTCATAATCAAAGCCACAACAGTCTGTAGTTAGCATCCGCTTTGATCATACAACGACTGTTTGAAACTCCACCTCGTCTGGGGAGGTGATGACGTATTCCTCTTGCTGCTGCACCACTTGTACTCCTTCCTCCAATGTTTCCTCCGTGGTAACCATAGTAACAGTTCCCTCCGCTGTACCTGCCCTGGCCAGCAGTCTGCCATCACTGATGGCGGAGGCCAGTGTCATGGCCACCTGCTCGGTGAGGCTCTCGGGTGTGGCGATGGTGATGGTGTCGCCGCAGTCAGAGATGGACAGGCCTTCCTCGTTCTCGGCCACATTTCGCACGATGATCTGGTGGCTGCTTGCGCCACCCGCACTCTGTGATTGGCTGACGAGTCTCTGCACCACCTTCACGATGTGGTTTCCCATCTGGGAGGGACAGAGTTTGATGGCTTTTTTGTTTCATTTTGTTTTTTTAAAACACTATATGGGTTCAACTTGAATTTTAGCAAACAATGAGATTCACATATTCTGCAAAATGCTCCAACACACGTTCATATAATCCTTGTGAACCAACCTCATTTTGGCTGTCTTCAATGACTGTCACTTCTTGCTGCACTTCCTCCTCCGTTTGCGTCTGAATGATGGAAAAAAAAAAACAAAGCAAATTAATACTCAGGATGTTTGTGTTTATTTAGACACTGTGGATGCATGCAAACAAATCATTTGAGTGGACTGCAAATGGACTTAAGGTATCTAACAGGACCACACAACGTCCTTCTCCAGTCCAAGTCTAATTGGCCCTGATTTAGAGTCCACACAGTTGCTTTTAATCTACTGGCTGCTTTGAAATCCACCTACATTACCTGTCATCCACCTACCTGACAAAGTCATATCTGTTGCACATTTTATTATGTATTTCCAGTTCCTGCTCTCCCTATTTCAATCTTCCCACATATGGACACAAGGACATGTCCTTGTGCAGGAGGTCCCCAAGTCCACAAAAACATAGGCCAAATATATGCGTTCATGAATTCTTACAAATGTTACAAATGCTTCACAGCCTTAAGGCAGCTTGTACAGAAAAAAATGCTTCAAACAGTGCTCAACAAAAGCCATATTTGTTTTTGCTGGTTTTCAAACTAAATTTCTCTGGTATGAATGGAAAATGCTCAAAGTACTAATTTGGTTTAAAAAAACTTTTGATTTTTTGTTTAAAAAGTTAAAAGGAGTTTTCCTTTTGAAATGCAGACCTTTACAAACTGCCTCAGCATTAGTTCTGACTTTCCACTGAATACAAAATTGCTCTAAGTATTTCAACCCCATTCCAGTCATTCTGCAGTAACACATCTCTTTAAAACTAATGAAATATCACATACAACATTTTGCTATGGTTCTGAAATCTCGTAATCTAGGCCCTAAACATGGCAAAGGAAATCGTTTGGCTGTAATCAGCGACCCAATCAGTTCCCTGCAGATATAATCATTTAGCACAACTTGAAGAGTGAAATTACACACTTCAGCTTGCACTTTAGTCGCTGATCTAAAAGAGAGAATAGTACCTGCTGTGATTGAACTCTGGACAGATTTGGCAACATGCTCCAAACTTTGAACCCCGCTCACAGCAACTGTTTAACAGCTTTGTGTTGTTTCCTGCCCATCTAATAACTGTTATGCAAAGACTATGTTTTCTGTTAACTTGTAGTGCTAACCTTGATTATATACTCTTGTGTGTCTGCCACCACTGAGGAAAACTCCACCAACACAGCGTTAGGATCGTCTGAGATGATGGCTGTTGCATCGGGACTGTCCAGTGTTGTCTGTCCTTCTGTTAAAACAACCTGCTGCTCACAGGCGTCATCCTTATGGCAGCCGCCTGGTATAAATACAGGTTGTGTTAACTGGGCTGTTTGCATCTGTGCTGTCAGCACGTAAGTCAGTTAGGCTTTGTGTGTCGTCCTGACCTTTAGCGCGCATGTGCCGATTGAGAGTCCCGTGCTCAGCAAAGCCCCGTGCGCACTTTGGGCACTTGAAAGGCTTCTCGCCGGTGTGATGGCGGATGTGTCGTACCAGAGAGCCTTTCTCTCTGAAGCCCCTCGAGCAAAACTGACACACATACGGTCTTACATCACCATGAGTCCGCTGGTGCACTTGCAAGGCATTCTGAGAAAGAGAAGAAAATCTGTTAGACTGGAGTGAAATCCCCCCTGCCATTAGTTCAAGAATTCTTTTAATGAATTACCTTGGTTTTGTATGCCTTGTTGCATCTGGTACAGTGGTAAGGTCTGTCATCCGAGTGTGCCCTCATGTGTTCCCGTACATGGCCGATGGTTTTGTAGAGCTTGCCACACTCGCCGCACTTGTATCTCCTCTCGTTGACATGGACTTCCATGTGTTTCTTCAGCAAGTAACCAGTTAGAAACTCTTTATGGCACAGTGTACACTTGAAGGGCTTATAACCTTATAACACAAGAACAAAACATCTTTTACCACAAGTGGCACCTATAAAGCAAGGTCAGAACTGAGACAGCAAAAGACTGAATCCAGCACACTTGGCATGACTTTGTAGAGTGTAAATAACGATAGAGAAATCAGCAGCGACTTTCTCTATTTCTCTGTATTTGGCAACAGGACCAACTATGTTGGAAGTTAGTAAGACCGAGTCACACGATGAGACTTAATTTCAAGCCAGAGGTCTGTATAATAGTCAATTTTATTGCATTCTTACTGTGAAAGAGATTATCCATAAACCAAAGAGATGGAAGATGGTTAAACCAAGGAGAAGTTTTTTGTTATTGTTGTTAGAACGGCTCGTGTTTTTGGTAATGGCTGCAAGCTAAATGTGGGAAAAGAGACATATTGTCAAAATTGCACTTAATTCTTCAGGCGCTTTCAGGCTGTTCCTTTTTTTAACAGATGCGTTACTTAAAATTTAAAAAATACTTCTTTAAATTTAAACAAAGGAAAAGGTTAATGCATTGTAAATGATTCATAAACTAAAATATTTTTGAGACCTAAGGTTTTCTTTTAATGAATCAAAAAGTCTGATGTTTTT